CTTCCACTTCCGGCGCACTGTCAGTCAGTGCATCCTTGGCTGTGTACGTGTGTGTTTGTGTATCTGAGTGTGTGTGTGTGTGTGTGTGTGTGGGTTTGAGCCTGTTTTGCGCTTTCCCACTTTCCACTTGACTTGGCTCCTCTGACTCTTGCTCTTTCGCTGCCTTCTCAAAGTTTTAGCACCGCAACTTCAATTGACCTTTGCTTTGCCCCACTCACTCGCCACCCACCCATCCATTTCCCATCTGCCCCCTAATCCTCCTCCTCCTTCTCCTCCTCCTCCTCCGCCTGCTGCTGCTCTTCAGTTCATCTTCACCCACTGACTTTCTTTCGTTTTAAGTTATTCACCAACACGTACGCTTTAACGTCATCGTCATGCCTCAGCCATCAACATGATTTCCTCGTCCGCTTTTCCCGCCCTCTCCTAATATCCACCACCACCCAACCGTCGGGTTTAGCCTCCCACGTCGGCAGTTATGCCCTCTTAAACTCTTTGAGCCTGGGCTGGCTAATTGTCCTTATGTGACTTGGATACGCTTATCTGGCCAACTGAGGATACACGGGAGTCAGTCAACGTCGTCGGTCGTCGGTCGTCTGGCCTCGTCGTCCGCACCTGGCGAGCTAAAGGATTTATCCTGCCTGCCCTTTTTGGCTCTGGTTAATGTCTGGTTGTACTGGAAAAAATGTGTTATTTTTCCAATGGTTGGTTTTTAAGGAATATTTTTTTACACATTATAGATTCCGATTTTTTCCCTTACATAATATTTGGTTAGCGTTTTTGCATTTTTCAGGGAGAAAATGCAATAAAAAATGGAAACTTCACTTGTAAAATATTCCCTTGGATCCTTTTGGTAATTTTTTATTGCAAAATTATTATTCTGTTTAATAATAATATACTGAGAAAAAAATGGGTTTATTTTTTCACCTTTTTTTCTGTGTATGTTCCATATTTTGTGTAGCATACTGCCAGGCGCATTTGGTCCTGTTTCGCCGAGGTTTCCTCAGCGTTTTCCCTGTGTCAGCGTTTTTCGCTCGCCTTGGGGTCTTCTCTTTATTGTTTTTGGCAAGGACGCTTACTTATAGACGCACACACAAACACACACTAAGGGATGCAGGTGTGTGCAAATGCTGCTAAACAGAGAGATACAGTAAAGGCTGGGTTGGGAAGAACTGGGCTTGCTCTTATCTGTGTAGTTTTTGGTTGTTGGCTGTCTCGTGTGGGCAGTTTAGGTTTAAAATAGTGCCAGCGCCTTTGGGGGATCCTTTCCCTGCGCTCCTTGCTTCCGGTTTCGGTTCCCGTTTCGGTAGCTACCACTTTCCTCCGTTTTTCCCTTTAATTTCCTTCCCTTTTCCTTCTCTACCTCTACCTCTACCTCAATTTTTGCCCTGCACTTTCCTTCCCTTTTCCCATTGCCTTGGCCACAGTTGAGTGTTGGCTTCATTTCCCTTTTTTTTTTCCTACTACTTCCTACCTACTACTGCTTTTCGTATCTGTGCCAAGTGAAGCGCGCGCCCGCCCACGTTGCCTTTTTATAGGTCAAACTTGCACTCTCTTCAGCAACTGCCTTTCCCACACTGCCCCGCCCACATTTTCACTCTCTCGCCGCCGCCGCCTCCCTTTTTCCTTTCTCATTCTCCTCGCCAACTTGCCTGCTGGCTACGCAGTCTGGTTATTCAATAGTTTGCCGCTCACTAATTGCATTGCCCTAATTGCCCAAGTTACGCCTGAAATGTGCCAAAAATGGACATAAAAGCGAAAAAATCCAACTAGCTAGGAAAATGTTTTTTAAACCCCAAAACGTTATCAGATATTGAACTGCAATTTCGGGGGATTATTTATCCATTTACTTTGAGGGGGTAAAGAAACATCCTCGGGCACTTCCGTTTGGCTGGTTCTTTATCTTATCTGGGCTTGGCTTTTACTTTAAAGGGGAAATTATGTAAGAATGTTTGGCTTTTTATTTAATTTACATTCTTAATTTACTGATAAATTAGGTTTGTGGTTTATGGTCTCTCATGTTTTATTTTTTCCATAGCTTTGGCTTACAAAAATTCGTGAATTTCGCTAGCCATCGTCATTATAGAGGATATTAAATTCCTTTTACTTGTTTTTTGTTAACAATATTCCTTTTTTTTGTAGATAAAACCTTTTTTTTTGTGTAATTCCTTTGTCAACCTTAACCCCTAGTTTTTCTCTCTTATTAAATCAACATTTTCCATCAATGCTGTGCCATATTTGTGGTTTATTTCCTTTCATTTCGTCATTTTCATGAATGTCGGTTTGCAAAATGTGTTAATTAAACGTGTTTTTTAACCCCTATGAGGGATATAAAATGTTATGTTTGCTTTTTCTTTATTGTTCAGATTCTCAGTTAGCTTGTCTGATAAATCGCTGGGCATATGCCAGTCTCTGAACTCTTTTCCTGTTTTGGCAATATAAAATTCTTTGACGGTTTCCCTCGTATCCATTGGCATTACTCGCGCAATTTTCGCACGTGGAATTTTGCAATATTGTTGAGCACGAGAACGAGCAGCAGCAGAACCGCCACCTCAACAGACTGACTGAGTGACTGACTAACTGACAGCTTTGTGGGTGGACGGTTGGATGGATAGCTGGAGGGGCAGATATGGGGGACTGGGATTGTGTGAGAGTTTTGAGCTCTGGCTGCTGTTGATTAAATTCCATTGATAGCGCGCTGCCGTTGTCATGCTGCGAACAGTAGCTGCTCCACTCCGGACCTGACTCCGTGATTTTCCGGCTGACCTCAGTTGCTAGCGCTGGCCTGGCTAGCTGGTGTTGCTGTCACTTTTCCGTAGTTGTTGCCATGGCAATGGAGTAATGAATATTTTAATAATTCATCTGCTGGCCTCTCTGTCCTTCTCCCTCTCTCTCTCTCTCTCTCTCTGTGTCACCGTTTTTACTATCCTCTCCTCCATCATCAATTCTCCTAATGCCAAGGAATAAAGTTCTCAAAAATAATTTCATAATATTGTAAATAATTAAGAGCCGCACATAAATCATGAGCACCAAGAGAGAGGGGAGCTAAAACCCACCCACCCGCCTCCCATCTTGGCTTGGTGCGGCTCATCATGAATCATGTCAGGGGCACTTAGCCATCGGCAAATCAGCTTTCGCCTCACCCCCACTTTATGCTGCTGGCCGCCACATCAACCAACAACCACATCCGCCCCGAGAAGCCTAGAAAATCTATGGCAAAGCTTTTAGTTTTTCACAATTTTCCGTTGGCCAAATTTATATTATATTCGCCAGACGGAAAAGATATATACTCCTATATTCCTGCGACCAACAAACGTCATTTGATTTTGTTTTTCTCATTTCTAAAAATATTTGAAATTTTGTTTGCTGAATTTTCTTTTTTTGGAATCGTGACGCGTTTTAATGAGCGGAAGATATATCTGCTAGTTGGATTTGCATTCGTGCATAAATATATATATATATATAGATTTAGATTTAGGTTTAATTGGGACTAAGAGAATTTATTGCCTTGATTTATACAAGCACTTATAGTTGGTTAATTTATTTGTTTGAGATACGGAAAATGGGTCGAAATAGAGCCATATACAAAATCACGTGTTGCCAACAGCTTTCTCACACAGTCCATTAAATAGATATCTCATACGTGCATCCGACTTTCTGTATATATATACCTACTCATATATATATATATATCTTTAAATCGATCGGCTCGTCCGGCGTACAATTGAAATGCCTGGCATAGCGCAACTTCAACGCGAACGCAAACAATTTTGACATTTTCATTGTTAATGAAAATTTAATTATGTTTCCATTGCTACGGCAATCGAAATTGCCCGTACACGACGCTTCGATTGCCGGACAGAGGCGGGCTATATCTCTGACCGCCGGACAGTTGTCCGGAGGGGGAGGGGACGGTGGGGCGATAAATACCCGTTGATAAGCAACCAGCAGCGCGTCGCCCATCATCGATGAGAGCCCCAGATACGGATTGAGATACAAATGCCATGATATATTATCAAGTCCAGGGATACCTACATGCCATCGGGCAGCTAACTCCCGCCACTTGCATACCAATATGGATCGTTAAATGATGGCGGGGGGTGTGAGTGGGGGGCCCCAACAAACATGCGACGCCCATAGAGAACATGCCAACATATTCATCTCTACAAACATCTAAATGAAATGTTTGACGAAGGCTGCGAATATGTATTTTGACTCGAACTCAAATTAGTGCATGTTGAAGTTTCCTCGATCGGAATTATAATGGCCATCTCTGCAGTTCAGAGCAACACGTATAATTTCCAGAGGCACTGAGAGAAACTTTGGGGGAATTCTGAATGGTATTCTCTGGCATTTGTGGCAGCTTAGAAAGTTGATAACACTTTTCGTTTGGGTAAACTTAAAGTAAAAATTAATACTAGAATATAAAACCTAAGAAATGTTTTATTCAATAATTTAATATCTAGAATATTAGATTTTTCTGATATTTTTTCCTCAGTGCATTTGCCTCTCGTGTGGCCCAAAAACTTTTTCAAACCGTGTTGTTGACAAGGCAAGTTTATTGTTGCTGCTGCGGCTGTGATGTTGCTGCTACTGCTGCTGCTGCTGCTGTTAAAATTAAACTCTCTGTGCTATTTAGTTGTCTCGCCGCCGCTTCTGAAGGTGAATTTATGGTGCACACATGGTGCCCGACGACTACCTCTAGTTTTCCCATGTCCGTGTATGCGTGCGTATCTGTGAGCCTGCCTGCGCTGAGTTTTCCTCGTGTGACATATGTCGGCTGTGCCAGAAATAGATTCGTTTCGAAATGTAGGGGGCAATTCTTTAGTTTTATTTTCTTTTTTCCTGTTCTCGAGATTGAAATCTTCTCTGTCCGCTCTCTTGGTTCGTCTCTGGATCTCTCTTGTTTTGGCTGGCCGGCCATGTGGCTGATTAAATTTTAATGGTTTATTAATGAGCTCAACTAATTTTGGTGTTAATTCTGTTTTTTTTGGCTTTTCCAGATTGCGAGAAAAGGCTTGGCTGCGAAAGGACTACATCAAACTGTATTCATGCTTACTGGAACTAAAACTGTGGAAACCATTTCGATAGCCCCAGCTGCCGCATAATCGTCATCCAATCCGATCCGATCTGATCCGATCCGATATAATCCAATCTCCGCCGTAACGAAAACTTAAGGAGAAGTTGCCAATAACAGCAGAGAGCCGCTCGATCCCAACGAACGGCAGCGAGTAGAAGTTTTTTCGGCCAGAGCGCACCCACAATCACCAGCAACAGCCTCAAGATTCTGCCCTTCGGTGCCCCCAACTTTCGTCTGGAGACGACACCCGCAGAGATGCACAAGATCGCAGCAGCGCCGCCTCCAACGGCAGCGCCAGGCGGAGGACTGGAGACGCCCCTGGCGGCGCCCAAATATGGCACATTAATACCCAACCGCATCTTTGTGGGCGGCATCAGGTGAGTTGGTCGTCCTTAAAGTGCACATTCCAGGAATCTTAATAAGGACTTGGTTTTCATTTAATGAGATCCTAGAATTAGTTGGCATAATGGAAACATTTTTTCCTTTGAATTTCATTTCTTAGAATGAGAATCTTATTTGAAGGAATTTGCCTGCTCCTTTAGTAGTTCTGAGCAGTAAAATTCCTAGAAATTTAACATAATTTTGTTAGTAAACAAAAAGCAGTTTCCTGATGGTTCCTTAAGTACTCCCCCTCGCAAAAGTACTCCAAAACTAATCCTTATATCTTCTTCTTCAGCGGCGATACCACCGAGGCCGATCTGACCCGCGTCTTCAGCGCCTACGGCACAGTAAAGAGCACCAAAATCATCGTGGATCGGGCAGGCGTGAGCAAGGGCTATGGCTTTGTCACCTTCGAGACGGAGCAGGAGGCGCAAAGACTGCAAGCGGATGTAAGTACCACTCCTTTGACCTGTTGCTAATGTCGCCTGTTGAACGTTTAACAAAAAAAAAAATGAGAAAAACTGCCAGTATTATGATTTCGATTCCGATGAAGCGAGTGTGAAGAGATCACCAACAGAAACTACAAACGAACGAACGAACGAACTATATGAACCTTGTTAAGAGCTTTTTTCGAGAAAGATCTAAACAAATCACGAAAAACACTACCTAAAATTGTGCTCCGATCTTTTAGGGCATTACCTGACCCATCACACACAAGTACTACTACTACTATGAGACGTCGGTTCCTCCTACTACTGATACTACTACTACTACTACTACTACCACCAACACTCCCCGTTCGGGGTGTTCCACATAAGAAAATACCTCATATGATTGTCGCCATTTTGAGCGATATATGATATATATATATATATATATGATGATCGATGATCGGTGATCGATAATCGAGAGATGTACCGCCTTAGGTACGGACGGCACTTTGTTCTTTTATAAATTTCTTCTTATTGCGTTTTTGTTGAGTTTACGTTTCCGAGTTACGTTACATTTCCGTTGCGTTGCCATTCCGTTATCGTTTCATTGCCAAGAAACAACTACACTACACTACACTACACAACACTCACCCAGTTATATAATCCACACATTACTACTTTCCCCAAGCGTAGGCAGCCTTTAAACTTTTCCTCTTTTATATTTCTTTGATCTCCCACCAAACACACACACACACACGCAGCCACCACCACCCACACACAAATCCAACCTATTGATATATCGAAGTATGCCCGTTAAGCGTTAAGCTAAAAATACCAAAATCAAAAAACCAAAATCAAATGCAAATGCAAAACAATGTTGAGTTCGTTGCACCGTTTTTAATGCTCATATTTTATGCAATAAATTAAAAAAAAAATTAGCGAATATTTTTTGCTCTTTTGGCTCCGTTGATTTGGTGGAACGCCAGTCTCCATAGACATATTATATAGACTAGACAAAATATATAGACAATACCTTAGTGCGTTGCCTTGTTGCCTTCTTAATTCGTTTTTGATATCCAGTCTTGAGTTTTCCTGTTTCTTGATTTGTATTTTCGTGTAAAGTTGCATTGTTGGCACATCTTTTCCGTTTACGCCTTATTTGCTGATTACAACAAATCGATTGTGTATTGCACATTTTTCCAATTGCGGAATAATTAACGAATCAAATAGCAGCCGGCAAAGTAATACTTAATAATAATCCAATTCCAAACCAATCCCCCCGCCAGCAAGTAAGTGAGCGCCGTAAAAGTTCCGAGGGAATAACTATATCTCAGTCGACCCCCAAAGTTAGCAGTCCAATCACCTGCTCCCCCAGGGCAACCCACGCTCTCGCTCTTCCCAGCTCAATAATTCTACACTGGAAAAGCTGCTATTAAAGGAAACTAGTTTTTGATTAAAGATTGATTTAATAATAATCACTGAATGGCTTGTCTTTAGAACAATAAAATATGTCAAGATATACAAAATATCCCCCAGTGTATAGTAGCTACTGACTATATAGAGTCAAGATCTGGGCTAGGTTCACTGCGGACCATAAAAAGTTCAGCGGCAGCGCCTCCTCCAGGTGGCTCATTACAAAATGAACTTGTCTGCCATATTTTGTTTTGGCATACTAATTGATTATAAATTATTGCATAAGCACACTACCACTGCCCTGCCTGGCAAGAGTGATGCAACTTTTACCCATTTCAGGGAAAATTCCCCATTTTTACCCTCTCTACAATGGTGATGCTGTGCTGCTGCTCAGAGGCTGAAGCTGAAGCTTCCGCCGTGCTCTGTGGCATATTAAGTGAAAAACTTTTGCCGCTCGTCATTAATATGCATTGTTGTCGTTCTGGTTGTTGTTCCAACTCTTGTTGTTGCTGCTAGCTACTGTGCCGGTGGGTGCCTCTCTAGTCTCTCTAGTCTAGGACACGAGTGTCCTTGTGAATGCAAAGGGAGAGGCAGAAAGCATAATGCCCGCCGGCAGAACAAGGATAACAACGACCATGCCACCACCTACTATTACTATGCAAAAGGCAAAAGCTGAAACGGGCACAAGAGCAGAGCCCCACCGTCAACAACAATAAAAACAACAAGAGTCCTGCCAACGTTTAACCAAGTTTTATAATTTACACACGCACACAGTCACAGAGGAGACAACAACAACTACTACAAACATTACACTAATTAAATTTCATTTAGAAAAGTTTAGCATTTAGTTCGAGTTTTTTGTCGACCACGAAACTCATCAAAAGCCACAGCCAAAAAAGGGACGCCTTTTGTAGTTTTCCGTAGGACACCACAATCCAAAAGCATATATATACGAGAGAGTATATATCATATCAGTCCACTTAATCCATAGAGAGAGAGAGAGTACCATCTAAACCCACCCACTGCGTGTACTAATTTTTGTGTATATGTTCTATGATGGCAAACTAATCCCTCCCAGATCAGATCCATTGTCACCTCATACATGCATAATTACGCAACACAAATGCATACACATATAGATTAGAGCAAATTTGGGTCCGTAAAATGAACTCTCCGAAACGCACATTTCGAATGTATGAGATTTGCCTACTGCTACTGCCACTCCTCCACTAAGGAGTTGACGACGACGACGACGACGACGACGACGGCTCTTCAATTTTAAATCATTTCTAGAGTGGGGGTTTTGTGTTGTCCTTTTTGTGTGCTGAAACAAAAGGCCACCACCCACACCACCACCACCATCATCATCATCAGGGTAACCGTAAAAGCCAGCCACCAAAAGGATTCTTAATTAAATTCAGTCAAGACAAGAAGTGGTTAAGGTTGTTGGTGGTGGGGTTGGGTAGCAGCACAGCAGCGCTCTTCTTTTGCCATACGTTTCATCTTTAGTTTACTTTCTCAACTGTTGGCCCTTTGTTATGGCCCTTATCCTTATGTCGCTGGCCGAGGAGATGGCTCGAGGGCGGCCAACTCGAACATAAATGAAAAGAATGTTTGCCCAGCGGCGGTCAGAAAAGGCTACGCGGTGGCAGTGGCAACGGCAACGGCTCAGGTTTTCCGCGCCGTACTGTGCCTTCTGCGCCTCGCTTTTCTTTTCATTTTCCACAATTTTCCTCATCTTTTCGTTTCATTTTTTTTTTTTTTCAAACGACAAAGTAGCATCATCTCTCCTTGGCCGGCAAACATTTGCTTAGGTTAATGGTTATTACCGCTGCCAAGAGGGGTCACCACTCGACCGCCACTCCCCGACTACTCCCTCAAGGAGTCTGGGCTTATCTCTTTGTGGAGCGGTGTCCTTTTCATGCATTTCATGCGCAAATCACAAGGGTATCAGCCGGGACTAATTGGCAATTAAAGATGAACTGAACTGGCCTGGCCAGGGCTGTGGCTATCTGCGTTAGTAGTTTGGCCAAAAGGAAAAAAGGTATTAAATGTAAATTGGCTGATTTATTGGGTCGAAGACGAGATGCTAAATGCATTTTTAAAATGGAATTTACTTTGATGAGACTCGTTTAAAGGGCTTTGTGAAAGAGAGGCTTATGTACAAGGATTTAAGACTCAACCTTTCTCTTTATAATATATATTTCTGTGATATAATTCTTATATATTTTTAACTTTTAAACTTGGTGTTGGTGTTATTTTTCTAATTGGTTTTCAAGTTTTCTAATTGTTTGTTTTTTGTTTTAAATCGATTTAATTATTATCATTGTTAATACAGTAGCAAACACGAGACGAGAGAAGAAACGAGAAGCTTTATTTTCCAAATTGGATTTTGTTCTTTAAATGCTTTTTTGTGCCTTTTCAGTTTTTTTTTACATATATATATTAAAAACATTCTTTAAATGAGTTTATTATTCTGGTTAATTAATTTTTTGTGTTTATGTTTGTTGATTAAAATAAACATGTTGTTTGAGTTTTTGTGCCGCGCAAAATTGAAAATGAAAATCACGAAACAAAAAAGGAGAACAATAAGTTTGGCAATTGGATTTTTGCTTTTGAAGCCAAATTAAAACTCACAGCAAAAACAGCGCAAAATCAATTTATGCAACATATATATTATTGTACATGACATTTTGTAATAAACCTTACTTAATTTAAACACACACATTAAACACACACCCCACATTCACACCTATATATCTTATATACATATACAACTTTGGTAATGGTATTTTGCCTTGGCACGTGTTTCTCTCTCTCTTAGCCATGGCCGTGCCATAAAAAGCAAAAAAAGAAAAAAGAAATGAACAGAAGATATTAAAAAAAAAAAATATTTAAACAAAAAACAAAAAAAAAGACACAAAATAAAACCAAAAGCGTTGCGCATTAATTTTTAACTATTTTTTGAGAATTTTTGATGCTGCTGCGTTCGATTTGAATTTGAATTTCTTCGTTCGGCTTGTGTGTTGATAATGCAATCAATTTGTTATTAATGCTCCTCTATATTTATGCTTTCTCCCTCTATCTTTCTCTTCCATCTCGGTCTTGGCCAAAAACTAAAACTAAAACCAAAACTACTACAGGGTGAGTGCGTGGTACTACGTGATCGCAAACTGAACATTGCACCGGCCATCAAGAAGCAGGTTAGTTAGTATTTCTTTTATAAATATATTTTTATTAACTAATTTAAATTCAATTTCAACTTAGCCCAATCCTCTGCAATCGATTGTGGCCACAAACGGAGCTGTTTACTATACCACCACGCCGCCGGCACCGATCAGCAACATACCCATGGATCAGTTCGCAGCCGCTGTATATCCGCCAGGTGAGCTTAAAGTCGTTCGATTAAAATGTAGATCGAGTATTATTAATCTACGCCTTGGATGGGAATCTCTTCATCGTTTATCTAAGTTTCACTTGGTTTTTGATTGACATTTGTTTTTCTTTTCTTTGTATTTCATTATTCTCTCTCTTTGTATTCGAAAAAACTCAAAAAAAAAAAAAAACACTCCATCAACACAACAACAAAAAAAAAACAACACCACCAACCACCACCATCAATTGGGAAACAATTAACCAAACCTAGTTACTGACTTTACAGCCGCTGGAGTGCCAGCCATCTACCCACCTTCAGCCATGCAATATCAGCCATTCTATCAGTACTACAGTGTGCCAATGGTGAGTGCTGGTTATAAGTTTAGTACAGATAACAGGGCAAAGTAATAGCCATGGGGAGATAGTGATTATATATTAAACAAGATTTTGTTTATTTTACTGCCCAGATAGTAAGCGAAGAACTTAATAAAAACCCAAGAAGAAGTCTTAAAAATAAATCAAATTTCCGTTGCTATTAATTTGGCCCCACTGTATATATATATATCAAAATATATATTCCCATAATTAATCTTAAATTTTCGCTTGCAGAATGTACCCACCATTTGGCCTCAGAATTACCAAGGTGAGTCTCTGATTTTTTGAGCCAGCTTTCACAGTATTTTAGTATCGCTCGCTGGTCGTTTTGTCGTTTTTGTCGTAGCCTACACAATATCGGTATTTGCTTTCTTTTCTTTCATTTTTTCTTGGCGCACCACCAACCACCAACCACCAACTACAACAACAACAACAACTACAACAATCAACCACCACAAAAATAGGTTAAATCAAAAAAAAAAAAAAAAAACAAAAATGAAACATAAAGTAAACAAATTTTCGTAGTCGCCAATTTTTCGTTGAGAGCTGCCCTGAATAATAAACCATAAAAACAACAACAACAACTGCAACGACAACAACAACAACAATCTGCGACAACAACAACTACAACAACAATACCAAGATATATATATATATATATATGCCCCTCAACTCTGATCGAACTGCAGCAGCAGCCGCACTCTTAGTTTATAATTTTAGTTTATTACGATTATGTTAATACGCCTATTGATTTAATTTAATTTATGCTAAGTTTTGGAGCTTTAGTTTTGGCCAACACACACACACACACACACACAAAAAACACACTAAAAATATGTACATGTAATGTAAATTAGTTGAATGCCATAGCGAGGGAAGATACTACTACATCTACTACTATATATATATATTTTTTTTCTCTATCAAATCTTTCGATTGGTTTTCCTATATATTTTTCGGTTTTGCTTGCTGTAAATAGCAGAGTATGAATGTAAATAGTAGTAGTCGGCACCAATCACTTTGCTTATATAAACATACCAATTTTATATATCCTTAAAAAACAAAAAACAAAAAAAACAGAAAACAACAACAATTTCGATAAATATTTTACAAATTCCTAGATATATGAAGTTCTTCCGATTATTTTGTAGGAATTTATCCATGTTAACTTTGAGGATGCAACAGCAACAGCAACAATAGTGATGCTACTACTACTACAACAACAACAACAACAAATCCACAACAACAACAACAAAAGTAAACTACAAAGCATAAATAGAATTTATATAAACTCACAAATACAGAGAAACACACACACAGATACACAGATACAGATACGCACACACCACAGCTGCAATTTGGGAAATGTTTAGTCAAAGGAAATCGTATATTGAAGGTAGAAGCTCTGGAAGGACACTCACTCACACAAACGCACTTACTACCAACACACACACACACACACACACAGATATAGATGCAAGGAAACCGTTGCAAAATGCTGTAAAGTAAGCTGCTTATGTTATTAGAGATGTGCGAGCGGTGTGCGAGTGTTGTGTGAGTGACGAGCAGTGATGTGGGGATAAAATTTTGGTAGAGGAAACATTTATGATGTGCAATTAGCGGTGGAGCAGAAGGGGGAGGGATTGGGGGGAATGGTTAGATGTGGGACTGTAACCGTAGGAAACATTGACAAAACTGCAGTGTGTTTGTGTGTGTGTACAAGAGTGGTAAAGTCAGCAAGTGAAAGACAGAAAAATATATATGGGGGGGGCAGGACTTGAAACCATATTTAAACTATACTATATAGGAAACATCATGCTAAATACACACAACGGGATTATACAGAGCCAGCAGATGGTGGAAAAGCACTCACTCAAACCAATACCAGCAAACACACACACATACACACGTGCAGGAGAAACACACACATATATATATACTATATAGGGAATAACTGAGTAAAATTGCATAAAAAACAGACACACACACACACACACATACTATATATGGTAGCTAAGAAAAAGCGGGGCAGCGATCGAAGATTAAAGACATAATATTATGCATAAATTAATTTATATACATATATACAATACTACATATAAAGCGTAAAAGTAACTGTAACTCGTAACTGTAAACTGTAACTGTCCTACACAGACACACACATACAGCAATACAAAGCAAAAAGATGAATATGTAAGCAAAGGAGACGACAAAGTCAAGCAGCAAAGCAAAGCAAAAACACACAAACTAACACACACCACGCACACACACACACACACACACACTGAGCCAAGAATCCTGAGCAGAAAGTCAAGGATATTTTATAAAGAAAAATGCCCTTAACTATCCGATCAGAATTCGTTGAGGAGAGAGGGAAAGGAAACCTAACTTGTAAGCCAAGCAAATGAAAAACTGAACGAAATTTTAGTCTAAACGAGAGAATACTAAAAGGGTAGGTGTAAAAGTAAAAGTAAAAATCATAAAATCTAGCCACATAAGCCAAGCAAAAAGTGAACTAAATACAAAAACAAAAAAAAAAAAAAGAACACAAAACTACAATAAAGATATTCAAAATATGCTAGCTAAAAAAATGAAAATGCGAAAAACATACACAACTCCCGGCCATTATAAGAAACGGGAGGCATATATTAGAGAGACTATTAAAGGAAAGCTAAACTCAAAGCTCTAGCGACAAGGAAAAAAATAGATAAAAACAAAAACAAAAAGAAGAAGATAACTCAAGCAATACATAGACACTCATAGGTGTGTGTTACACAAGAATATAGTTAAATATATATACGAAAAGCAAGCAAAACGTAAATTAATAATAATAATTTAATAAACTAAAATGTACAAGAGGAAAAACCAAGCAAAATGAAAACTCTGCGAAACATGTTGATTTATAATTTCTGTTTTTCCAACACTCACTTAAGATTCTGTTGTATCTCTATTGTTATGATGATGTTGATTATGATAATGATGATGGCATCAAAACTAATCAAAAACACGAAACGATAAAAGCAAGATGTGTTAACCAAAATTATTTAAAAGTAATACAAAAACGCGCGTTGGCCAAAACATTTGCGGTGGCAGCCCCGGCGATCTGCGAGCGAATTCCATTTCAAATTGGTGCATAATTTGGCTGAAAATATGAGAATATAAAACCTTAATGCGGAAAATTCCAAATAAATATTTACATATACGTATATGCCTTATTGAAAGAAATTAAATTATTTGCCCACTAAAGAAAGAAAACATTACATGTTATTAACGTATAAAATAAACCAACCCAGAGGTTTCAAAAATACCTGCTAAAACAGATATCGCCGAGGTCGCCGCCCCACCACCACCACGAAATCGAAAATCTTAGACTCGCTGCCGCCGCAAATTTTGGTACTTTGCCGTGAAGTTGTTGATAAATTTTTACTAAATTGTTAAATAGTTAAAAATATAAAACCAAAAACATTTTTAAATCGAATTGTAACAATAATTAGAAATCACTCTTTGTTGAAACGAAGCAAAAAAAAAAAAAAAAACACACACAAAATGATGTAATGATGAGAAATGGAAAGCAATAATTCACTTAGGCATGCTCTAGTTAAAAACTAAAAACTGAAATCAAGTCGAAGAAGCAACATAGAAACCACCAACCAAGAGGAGAGTGTACTTACAATGTGTATGTCAGTCAAATAGGGATTTTATTTAGTTCAAAGAAGAGGAGTGGGCAGAGAGAGAGAGAGGGATTTCAGATTCCAGATCTAGAATCCAAGAATTGCTGGGAAAGTAAGAAATTTGAGGAAAGAGGATAGAGAAGTGTTCGAAATGAGTTTCCCATTCACTCTTTTTATCCAAGCCATCCCAGCAATTTAATCTTCCGCAGACTAATCAGATAAAGATCAGATCATAAACTAATAAATCCAAGGCATAACTTAAGTATATACGTGATATTTTGAAAGCGAAAATTCATAAATAAATTGTTTAGGTTTAAAACAATATTAAAACAAATATATTATACAGATATATACATATATATACATTATAAAGATAATGCCAAGGCATAATTAAAACCATAACGATTAATTAATTAAAGAATGAATGAACATTTTTGCTGACAAAAACAAACAAACAAACAAACGACGAGTGTGTAAAATGTTTGTTAACTCAATTTATTGTACGACTTGAAATGGAAAATGAAAAGTGGAAAAGTGGAAAAGTGGAAAAAATGAAACCGAAATGAAGTTCTTAAGTTTTTACTGAACAGCAGAGAGAGCAGATTGTGTCCCATCGTAAAAATCTATTTAGTTTATATATAGTGAATATTTATATTATATATACATATATATATATATATTAAATGAACAAAAATGGCAAGTAACAAAAAAAGAAACCAACAAAAAAGAAATAGCAATTAGAAGAAAGATGGTAAAAGAAGGAAGAAAAATTATATATATATACAATACATATATATCATAGCGCAAAGAATAATATATATATTTTAATGAAGGAACATCAACTGATTAAGAAGTGCAGCTCAACTAAGAGCACAAAAATGTTTTTAGACTAAGTACCTACCTACCTAAATGAATTCAGCAATTACATAATATATATACACATATATACATTGAGATAAAGCAGCAGCAGCAGCAGCAGCAGCAGGCCCAGAAGCCAGATCAGTTTCTACTTCTATGGAGTCTAATTTGTATAATTATATATACATATTACTGAGGATAATGCCCCCCATATGATCATCACAAAAACAAAGAAAATTTAACAAAAAACGAAGCATATTTAACCACACATACACACACCCACTACCAAACACACACACACACACACTATACTACCTATAAATATAGAAATGAGAAAGAAGAAAAGAACGCATAAATAGCAATAACAATAAAGCAACAGCTACTTAATAATTTTAGCAAAATGCAAACAAAAAAAAGAAAAGAATATGAATAGCAAAATATTTCATTTGCGTTTATTTCATTTATATTTACCCCTCTCCGCTTTTTCAGTTGGTTAAAATCTCTACTATATATTTGACCTTGAGTGTACTCCCGATCTTCCTTTTCCCCTCTCTCAGATTTGTAATTCAGGGCACCATAAAAATATATCTCTTATACAGAAAACCATTCGCCATTGCTGCACCCACCGTCGCCGAATCATCAAACGCACGCCCAGACGCATCCACAGTCGTCGTGCTGGACTGTCGAGGATCTGAGAGATACAATGCCCAGGGTATAGCTGCCGATCGAAGGATCGGTGGTTAAAGTAACAACAGGATTAGAACAGGGGGCTAAGGCGAAGGAAGAAGTGGAGACACACAGAACTCAGAACAGAAGACGACCCAATTCTCCAGAAAAAAAAAAAACAGTATCAAAGTCAGAAAAGTTAGAAAATATGATCAAAGTGGAGGAAAGGGAAGAAGTGGATGGGACTGGAGAATCGGAAAAAGATGGTATCATCCTTGGGTTAAGGATCCGAGAAGAAATCTCTCGAAGTATTTACGAATCGAAACACTGGGATTGATCCTGGGTAACGATGGCGCGACACCTCACAAAATTCCCTTCGTTTTTAGTTATTTTTTTTTTTTGTTTGTTTTTTAATTTCGAAACTTTATCCCTACGATAACCCCAAAAACCTTCACGCTTTACCACCCCATCGGGTTAACCTCGTTAACCTTGTTCTTATGTTTTGCGATTGTTATGTTCGTTATTTTGTTATACGTTATCGTTAAAAAGTTTTTTCGTTTTCGGGCAGCGAAGGGGTGTGTGTATAATAAGCGAGTAAAGCAAAAGAAAAGAAGAGGGAGTTAGAGAGGTATAGGTGAAGGGGTCATGATTATAGCAAGCGGGTCAACATCATCAACGTCGTTTCCCCCCATCACATGCGAGCAACACAATCAATCTGAAACCATCTGAAGCATAACCGAAGCATATCCACGACTTCTTCAAAATCGGTTACCCGCACGGGAACACCCAGTATTTATACCGCACCATCTATAATACCACCAACCGAAATAAAAAGCCCGAAGCTATTTTCAATCCCGATCCTGAACTCGACCCCCCCCGTGAGCCAGCCTATGTCTGCTATATATTGGATCTGTGCTATATCTGTGCTATATCAGCGATGCAATTTTAGAAAAAAGAAGAAAAAAAAACGTTTCGGGCTTGATGCTTGTTCTTTGGAGTGTTCTGATCATTTTCGATCATTCAGAGAGCACTCTTCAGCTCGATTTATTTTTTCCAAATTTGTCCCAGTTTCATCTTTTGATTCATCATTCTTTCCTTTCTGATTTTTCGAAACGAATGTATTATCAAAATTTGTTCAACTTTCTGTGTGATTCCAAATTATTATTGAAGTGTTCATATTCCGATTATCGAATGTCATTCATTAAAGCAATAATAAAAAAAAGAGCCCGAAACAAAAACCGATCCTTTGTTTTGTTTTTTCTTAAACTGTTTTTGTGTTTTTAATCTTTCAGTTCTTACCGATAAAGTGTAGCATACTTTCCAGGTGCTGCGAAATACAAAAAGCAACGAATCTTTCAGTAGCATTGACAGTCGTGTAAAGCTAATCGTTAGGCAGAGATGATATGATAAAATAGTTAAATTAAACGGTTGTGTCAAATTAGCTCTAATCTCAAAGTGGAAAAATCTCTAAAAAGTAAAAAAAAAAAAAGTAAGGCGACAATTTATTAGGACTAAAACTTGTCTAAACTCTAAATGTAGTTCAATTACGATTGGTTTGCTAAGCTCGCTCGTCTTTAAACTCCTAACTCTCACTACCGTGTGTAAACTTTAATCTTCCCGAATGCGATCAACCAAAGTAATTAAAAATCTATATACGAGGAATACAAGAACGAACACATACACTTAGGCCATGGTTAGTATATGCGAAAATATATACATATACATATACATAGAAATGTACAAGAACAATATCTCGATGGCGTCTCAAAGAAAAAACACAAAAAAAAATGAGGTAATCAGATACCAAATTATAATATTTATGACAAACGGGGCAGATAGGAAATGGAAAAGCCGAACATTTTTACATAAGAAAATGCATTTTTTAACAAACGTCTACGTGTGAATTGAATAAACCTTATACACGCATATATTATATACATTTTATTAAATATATATATATATATATATGTATATGTAAAGTCGAGCAGCAATTTTTTATAACAAGAAGCGAGGCCCAAGGAAAGCGATTGGTGAAAATGGAGAGTGGCAGCTGGAAAAAAGACAACCTGCCCAGTGTGGGCGCATTCGTGGCTTCGAGGCTTCACCGTGCTCTCCTCCGTGTGTGCGCGTTAAAAACGTTTTTTGAAGTAAAATTTAATTTACACAAGACTGACGCTAAAAAATAACTAAGAATATTAAAAAGTGTACTAACCGTTTACGAATTTTTCAAATGCCACACACGGAGTTAGTGGGGGTGGCCAGAGGTCAAGAGGAGGGCCCACGAAGGATGTTGCAGGATGGATGGATGGATGGATGGATGGCTTGTTTGGAAAGGGGCGCCGCTTTGTATATGGTTATATTATATTGTACTTAATAAATGGAAAACCTGAGATATATATTATATATATTTATATTTACAATAAAAGAAGAAAAACAAAACCGAAGCATAAAACTAAAACAAAAATACAAAAAATGCATAATTTATGAACAATTAAAATGAAGCGAAATGAAATTAATGGTAAATAACAAAATATACAGTGTTATTTTTATTTTTATGATATTGTACTTACATTAGTAACTAACAAAGTAACGGCGCAGCAATAATAACTAAATTAATTAGCAACCAGAACTAGGCAAAAAAAAAAAAAAAAAAATGAATACCCCACAAGAAAATGTGATGAATATTGTATAAACAAAAAAAATCAAACAAAAATAAGTCCCATTATCCGGATGAGTTTCGGTAGATCATTATTTGGCAGAGTAATAGAATCGATATAGAAGAGAGAGAGAGAGGTAGAGGTAGAGGTAGAGAGAGGTCTTCCTGGACCGGACGAGCCTATGAAATACAATAAACGTGCAACGAACTCTTTTAGATTTATCGAGGATTTACCTTTAACCACATAACCAACCACATAGGTGCATTACGTAGTTCTCGAAACTTGGAAGCGTTTTGGATTATTGTTGTATTTTAGTGATCCGATTTGGGTCCCTTAGCAGCAGCAGCAGGAGCAGCAGCCAACCATTAAACCACCCGCATTACCAACTCTGTTTTGGGTCATTGTTGTCAGCAAAAGAGTCTTTTTTGAATTACGATTACGATTTTCTAACAAAAACATATACAGAGCACTTTCTAGAGCGAGATCTCTTGATGTAGAAGAGGCAAAACATGGCAAATGGTGAAAAGCAAAACGACAACAAGAACAAAACAAAGCGGTTTTTCTATCAATGTTGAATGCGAATGTGTAGGAAATATTTAACCATATATACAACAAATATAAATTGTAGCTAAAATGGTTTCATGTAAACGAAATTGTTGAGTATTTTTAGTCACGAGAGAGAGAGAGAATCGAAGTAAACAAAAAACCCCCTAACCATACAGACAAAATGAAGAATTTACAAAAAGAAAGATTTTTGCAATTTTTAAGCAGTTTCTTCTGACCTTATTTCCATAAATATTTGCACAGAATTTCGTTTATTGCCTTCTGCTGACAAAACTGTCCATATTAAGCCTTTTTCAATCATTTGATTTAATCCATTATCCTACCCACCCCCCCCCAAAACCAAACCCTCAAAATGCCGAAATTCTGTTGCAAGAAGAACATATAGAATTATTAAAATTAAATCGAAGTGCAAGTTGCACATTGTGAGAATCTGTGCTGAAGCCGATGCAGGATAAATAAATAAACTTGTAGAGAAGAAGAAAGGATAACGATACCGCGATACAGTTACCGATACACCTATGTTAAGCCAATTAAAGCGCCCAATGAATGTGCTATAAACCGAGAGATAGGATTACAACTACCACAAACATACATAGCAAATGATTAGCTGAAAAGTAATGAAAATACTAGACAAATTATACTTTTAGCTAAAAATCAAGTGGAACTAAGAACAAAAAAAATGTATCCAAATTCTTCCGTAAAAGAAAACACATTTCTAGCAAAAAAAAAAAAAATCAATTTACCATACATAAGAGTCTAATATACATACATATACTAACTATACTGAGCAGCATATAAATGTAGAGTCAAGGAAATACGTAAATCAGACGACACACAAATATATAGACGAAATCCAAAGAAATTACAGATCACGATCAAGCAATTTGCGAAGCCCACTAAGGAAATGAGATATATCAGTATGGAAAGGTGAGATCTGAGAGGGCTTAGGGGAAGATTAGGAAGATTAGGAAGATTAGGATAATAGCAATAGCAGAGGGGAACCCAACTGATCTCTACTGTGTTCTATATGCTTTAGAGGGGACATACATAGGTAAAGTAAAATTAAAATTAATTAATGTTGAAAAAATACCAAAGTATTACAATTTTGAGCTGCAATATTTTTTAATCAAAAACCAAAATGAAAAATAATAAATGGATTTAATAACAAAAAGGTAAAATACAAAAGATAATAATTAATATATATTTTTCTCTTTTGAGATAAACCAAACGAAAACTGTTTTGATGTGAATTGAGTTAGGCAACAACAACAACAACAACAACAACAAATAAACGAGGTCATAAAATAACATAACATATTCCCAAAAAGAAGTATCAAAACGAAAACCAAAGCTAGCTAAGAAAATGCACAAAGTTTTGTGTGTATTTTTTCGGTTTTTATTCATGTGTGTAAATCTTCCGTGTGCAAAAAAAAAAAAAAAAAAAATATAAAAACAAATTACAAAACATTAAAAAAATAAAAATAAAATACATAAAAAGAGAAAAAACCAGAACTACACTACACTACAAAAGCAAAGCCAGACACTAAGCCCAACTGAAATTGTCAAATATGAATTAATATATATATATATATGAGGTCTATATGAGTATATATTTAGATAACAATATATATATATATACATATATATTATATACATACATGTGTGCAAATTATTCAGATCCATCAAAGTACGATGCGGCAAGGAAAAAGTCTCTATATATATATATATTTAGTAAAATTATAACGAAAGAAAAATGAATACGTAGTACAACGGCAAGCGAAATAAAAGTATAAAGAAAAAAAATCACACAAGAGAAAGCAAAATTTGAAAAAACAGAAAATTAAAAAAAATCGAATGGATAGCATAAAAAAATAATTATTTATAAAGGCTGTAATTTTAAGTAAAAAAAAACGATCAACCCGATAAACATAACAAAAAAATAAGAAAACAAAACAAAAAATTTAAACGTCAACATATTTCACCCACAAAGCAAATTAAATTAACTAAAACCAAAAAAAAAGAAAAAGAAAAACGCGAGAATATACTATAAAACCTAAGTAAGAACGATATCTAAAAACGAAATTATAAAGCTAAATGAAAAATTATATGAAATAATTACATACAACAAAGAAAGTAAAGCATACACATAAAACCCAAAAAATTATATATATACGAGAACTCAATGTATGAAATAAATATAAAACTAAATAAATAAAATCTTAAAAAACGAATAAACCGAAGTTATAAATTGTCTTTTCATTATATAGACAAAAAACACCGATCATTCGATTGGGTTTCCATATATTATATATATTGATGTCATTTGCCTTTGGCTGACGCACTTCATAGACCCCCCCCTCTGCCCTGTTTTAATCCAGGAAAATGACAAATATTATTCTCTTAACTAAGCGCCAGAATGCATTTATTTAATCATTTTGTTTTTTGTTTTTTTTTTTTTATAATGCCAAGGTACATGAAAAGTCGTAGCGCCTGCTTCGTTTAGATTCGATTAACTCTAATTTGAACGATAATATTTATCGCCTTAGGAAATACTCTACATAATAAATACAAAGTGCACCATAAAAAAAAATATGTCTAACGCGACATTAGGAACATGTCAAGGTCGGCACTAAAAATCTATTCCATCCATCAATCCCGTAGGAAGCTGCGATTCAGATTCTGCAGCCTGACACTTTGGGGAGCCTTCTGGGTGCGATCAAAGTTCTGCAGCTTGTTGGTCTTCAACATCCGGGGATTGGGTCCCGCAGAGGTACGCCAGTAGACCGTCTGAACGGCATTCCGTCCGGCAATATAACGCGTAGTCGCACCGATCAAGTGGTTCACCTTATTAGAAGCAGACATCTTTGGATTTATGTTCGTTTGATATCACAGTTGGATTGCTTTTGCTATAGAGTTAGCTCTATATTTTTTTGGTTTTTTAATGGATCTGTCCGATCATTGGCGCGCTCGATTCGTTTCTGAGTCCACACTTTGCTCCGGTTTCGGTATTTATAGCGATGCATTATCAGCATTTTTCATACTGGCGTATGTATGGACATTATCTTGCAAGTAGTTGGGGCTTATCAGGTGGGTTGGTCAAAAGGGTTGCTAATTGATTAGCTTACGACCAGGCCATTATTTGCAGGCCATGCAATCGAATGCACTACGAAATGCGACGCACTTTCAGGCAAAGCTTGTTGTTTACGCTTCGAGTAGTTTTGTTTACCTTCATTGGATAGTGTCGTCTCGAACGTTGTATCCGTAACTAAAAAGGAGAAATTGCCATCATCGCACTTCCCAAGTGCAGCTCAAAGTCCAAAGGCTGATCTATACAGCTGTGCCAATATTGCACAATTAAATAAATACCCCTCAGACGATGACGTAAATCATTATTATGTACAGTCGAGCATCTGCCAATCGAAATGACCTAATTAAAAAACTTTAACCTATTTACCCAGGCTCCGGGGAACTAAGATTATTAGTTGGACTGATAAAAAGGCTTTTGAAAACTGAAAGAAATATATTTTTACTTCTTAAATTTTTAATACAAATTAAACTCAATTTGTCTTCTTTGATTATTTGTAATCTGAGATATCTCTCTCTAAGTCCAACATGATAATTCACCAGACTGTTTGCTGTCTAAAATAATCTCAAAGTAGAATATGAGTGTTGTAGGTCATGGGTTCCCCGTTAGAGAGGCTACTCTGTAAATCAAACATTTTCAAGACAAATTTAGCTGGCTCATGGCTGCCATGACAGAGGTCGCATTAACCTATTTTAGACACATCCTCCCCCGGCTGATTATGCAGTCCGGCCGGGGTCTAAGATATGCTCCATTAGCTTGGCACTTTTGTAATACTTTACTATCATGAGCACTCTACGTGTGCGGCGAGTTCTTATCAATTCATGAGTCGGCGGCTGCCTGTGAATTATTATTATTATTTTCAAAACAAAACGTCAAGCTGGCACACGGTCTATGACTGCAATCAGGCGTTGTAAAATCCGGCAAAAAGTGTGCGGGTGAAAATTGTTAAGTCAACAATAACAATAACAAAAAAAAAAGAAAAATACAATAACCCATGATCACGAATACTCCAAGTTCAAGTGCGATTCAGACTCAGCGGGGTCTGAGCAATCTAGCCCTTATCTAGCCCCACGTTGTCCGGCAGTGCTTGAAGAACCAATGCATTCCCTGGGAATATTTCGCTGCCCAAAACTTTTCCACACAGACTTGGAGAGTTTGTTTTCTTTTTCATGATTGTGTCCAGACTTGTTAGTATTTCTATTAGGCTGATAACGTAGCCAGCATGTTCCCATTTATTCCCAAAAAAAAAACTGTTTTGCCTTATCAACAAAGAAGAAAAAGAAATTAGCAGTAATATCAAGACAGAGAACTGTTTATAAATAAAGCAATCGCCAGACTTTGGCAGGCGAGATCCCCGTGAAATCGCGTGCATATCAAAGGCTATCGACCAGATTTTATAGCCCCGATTCCAGGGGGCCTCAACCCTTTTTCATTCCGAATAAATCCACTTGATTATAGAGCTGAGCACATGCTGGTTGCCTAGGCCTGATAAGTTTCATCTGCTAGTTCTTTTCGGTTATTGCTGATAGTGTAAAAAAAAAACGAAATGTTAACAACGTAATCAGAGAGGCAAGTGGCATTGGCTTGGGATGTGTGTGACTGTGTCATCACGGCGTATGAGTAATTTATATATGTATACATTTCGACAGCACATTTCTATTGCCTACTTTTGGGGTTTACACCATACATAGCAATCGAGATAGGCAAAAGACCTCGTTTGGGTAGCAATAACAACCGAATTTGTTCCGGAATTAGTGATACCAAAATTCGAATGAGCGGGTAGAGATCCCTGCTAATTGAATTAAGCAAACATTTAACGCCTACAACTAGCCAACGGCTAATGCCCACTTAAGTCAGCTCCGTCTTTCTGGTAATTGACTTTAATTGACAAGACAAGCAATTAAAACGGAAGCAATGTGAGTATTTGTTTTCAGGGAGTGCACTCGGCGATCTCGCTTCTGTATTGCTTAAGTAAAATATACATGAATTAACGTAATATGGCTGGACTCATTAAATACGCCGGCTAAAGATCGGCGATGTGGCGATCCCCTTTCGTTTACTGGCCACGCCCCCAGCCAAAACGGACGACCAGGAAAAGGGCAAACAGAGTGAAGAGGCTACCAGTCAGCTGGCCACAGCCATTGCAGACCTTGCGAATGGTCTCCGTGTAAAGTCCACGCCGGGAAAGCATATTCCGGATGCTGCGCAGCTCCTGGAAAAATGACGAAAAACAATAAATAAAATAATTAGACAGGTATTGATTCATTGACAGGTTCTTATCATTCAAAAGCTTATAAGCGAGTTTACGAACTACGTTTTTAATAACCATATATATTCTAGGGAATAGTTTGCTTATCAGCAATAAAAATCTGAACTAATCAACATCTTCTAACGTAATATTACCGCTCTATAAAATTCCTAGAAATATAAGCTATTCACCTTAACTTTTTCGCATTTCCTTACAATTTTAAGCTAATATTTTTATGAATACAGATTACCAAGAACAACTTCTGAATAACTTCCCATTATAAGCTATCAATATGAATAAAAATAAAGTCACTTACATCTGAAGTTAAACCAAGACGATTGCGGGTGAGTACCACCGTGTATATAGAGCTCTTTACATCATTCCCGCAGAAGGTAAGCACCAGATGATCGTTGACAGCTTTAACCACCTGAACGGTTCCAGTGAACTGGGTGTAGGAGTTCAAGGTGACCAAGGAACCTCGCTGATCCCCAATGTTTGACCACTGACCGGGTGTAGAGGTGCTATAGTTGAAGGTGTACTCCAGATTATTGTCCCGCTCGCTCCACACCAAACGCAAAAACTTCTGCTGACCCCTAGTGGTTCTCTCGAAATAAGGGAATTGAGTCGTGGTTGTGGTGGGGCTTCCATAGTTGTTTCGATTCCTGTTGTAGTTTTGATTTCCGTACACATTTGTCTGTTGAATCTGTCATATATCAAATATTTCATTATATAAGATCTAACTATGGATTATCGAAGAACTCACCTGTTCAGTGACATCGGCTAGGTGGATAATCACACATGAGTCGTACTCGTAGGTTCCGGGAAAGTCTTGAGTGTGTACGATGATCTCGCTGCCATACCAGATCCCCATTATCTACATATGCAGAGAGAGAGAGAGAGAGGATGGGCATTATTACACAGTCATATAAAAGCGAATGGGGGTCATTTGTGCGATTTGCATGCCACTCGCTGTGCGTTCAATTAAATGCCCACAATGAAAAAATAAATAAGCAGGGCTCGGAGCACTATACCATTGACATTGGGCGCACTCTGGGCGCAAAGGGTTAATTAGAACAAATCGACCATAATTGCATTAGGCAGCAATGCATGGTATTTGGTATTCAAATTAGTTTATACCGCAATATTGGGTGAAGCTTAAATTCCCTGACTTTTAAGTTAAATTTCTTATGTATATCCCCAACCTACCTGCTCGAAATCCACAGAATTCTGTGGACTAATGTTCATACACCGCAATTCTGCATTATTCCGTTCCGTTGTGGAAATGTCTGCACGTCCAAAGATTCCATACTGATCAACTGCTGTCCCCGCAATTAAGCCCCAAGAAAGGCTGAAGATGGCCAAGTAAGTCAAGGATTTGGTGACCATTTTGGCAGAGACTCCTGTTGCAACGGATGATTAGGCACTAAATGCGATCTGTTCCAGATGAAATCTCACGATCAACTAAAGAAGAATCCCAGCGTGTTGACCACTCAGTCCGCAGATCGCACTCGGAGAGAGAGAGAGAATTACCCCTAGGAGCCGCCCGAGCGCACTCTTTCGCTCAGAAAAAGCTAAATTAAAAAACAACCAGTCTCGTTTCCCACACAGAAAAGAAAAAATATACTTTTTTATTGCTTAAAGAAAAACACAAGAATTTTAACAAAACATAAACATTATAAATCATCCGATTTATGTATAAAATATTCGTGTATATAGTTTGCCTTTCCTACCGCTAAATTCCTTAGTTTTGTCAGAGAAATCCCGATAATCGAATTTTTAAATTAATTATTTTCCTTTTTATCTAGTTACTTTCCTTCAATATTCTTAATATGATATTAATATATTTTAAAAACAAATTCTATCTTGAATTCTTTCAGTGCTTTGTAGCAAATTGTTGTATTAATTAAGTTAATTGTAGCGCTTTCCATGCCGATCATCCAATCGCGCGTGCAACGCCCGCACAATGCGGAGCAGGGCGCGTCTCCCGGCCACTGCCACCCCTCCCCCATGTCACCGTTGAGCTCCTCTTTGACCACTCTTGCCTGGTGTCAATTGAGTGCGTGTTCCGCTCCTCCAGTTGGACCGTCAATTTCAGCCAAAAAAAGTAGAACGGAGCAGCCCAGGAGGAGAACTCGGTGAGAACCATTGGAAGCACTCTACTGAATGGGGGATGAGTCAAAAAAAAAAGCATAGCCGACTTGTGAATTAAATCATTGTCGACGTTGTTGCTTGTTGTGAGTGTGATTGTTGTATCTTCGGCTAAAAGTCGTCTTGTTGTTGTGCGTTTTATTAGCATTGATTATGGATTTAATTCATTTTTCTGTGCGAGTAAATAAATGACGAGTTCTGCTTCACATTCGCTAATGGATTGATGTAAATTCACACGGTTAAATAAATTATGATGGAAATATGTAAAACTTTACAACTTTCCAGCGTCAAATACTTTTTAAAATAATCTGCTTTATTTGCAAGTTAACTACAAAATTCTTATACAAAAGTAGTAAGTCATGTAACAGGGTAGAATTTAGAGAGCTGGGAAATCTGTTTTCCTAAAGACGTTTCAAGCTCTCATTGATCTTCTCGTAGATCCAATCAATATAGTGACTAACACGAACATAGACACCCGGTCTGTTCTTATAGCCACAGTGCTGACCCCATGAAATAAGACCGTACAAAGTCTCGCCATCTAAATTAATAAATTTTAAAATTTCAAAATATTAATAATCTTAAGACAAATAAATCCTATTCATACCGTCATCGGAGCAAACCAGCGGACCGCCTGAGTCACCTTCGCAGGCATCAACACTCTCATCCATGGAGCCAGCACAGAACATGCCTAAAATAAATTAGATCATGGAGATTATTTCCTGCTTAAACTAGTTTTACGGGTAAAATAGATATTTTTAACGGTCCAATGATCATTATATAGCTTACCATCCGACATGGCCGATCCATAGACATTTGATTGCTTGCACACGTTATCGGCCAGAATGGGAAGCTCGGCTGATCCCAGAACTTGGGCAGGAGCTAGTGGAAAATCAATATTATTTTAGATTTGGGTAATACCAACTTATAAGCCACTTACTGGACACACCCGACTTAATGGAACCCCAGCCGGAAATAGTGCACTTGCGGCCTTCGACAAGGTCAGACTTCTTATCCGGCAGGCAAATGGGCTGGACGTAGTCGTTAAACCTTAGGGGAGTCTTCAATACCACCACAGCAATATCGTTATTCATATGGGCTCCCTTGCGGAACTTCTCGTGCGTATACCAATTTTCAATGAACGTATCCACCTCGGAGTTCTCCGCTATATTTGCATAATGATCACCGACACGAACAAAGTATGCTCCCTTGGGATTGCCATACAAACAGTGGGCGGCGGTGAGGAGATGACGTTTGGATATCACCACTGCTCCACACCAATGACTGGAGATACCACCACGACCACGTGTCCTGATGGTGGCCTGCCAAGGATGACGACCACGCTGTGCTACATTTCCCCTGACCACGCGCTCCTCTCGGTGGGCATACTCATCGGTCAAATCGTCCTTGAAGATTCCGCAACGACGAGGGGTATGCAGTGCCTTGCTGGATCGTTCCCACAGACCAATTTGGGAATAGGTCCTTGCTGCAGTTTCTTGGCCAACTGTCATGCCACCTTTAAGTTGGCTCTGGAAATACTTCTGACTGCGTGGTGGTGGCCCAGCGGTGCAGTGCAGAGCAACATCTTCGGTGTGGTTGCAATTGTGCTCTCCCCAGTTCCAGTGGTTACATTGATCGATGGCGGTTTCGTTTCCGAAGCACATCACTTGATCGAGCCAAATGGGTCCGTTTCCATTCCCAAAAATGTTCTTTTCGATTTTCTGTGGGACAAACATATAAAGGTTAACATTTTTGATACAAAAAACTTTGGAATTTTCTTATACCGCCGGTCCATAGAACCCCATAGAGTTACAGGCCACTTGTGCGGACTTCAGGTTGAAGTCATCATCGCAAACACTGCCCCAAACACCATGGTGTTTGACCTCCAGGCGGCCTTCATTTGAATTGCGTCCTCCCTCCAAACGGTACTGAACGGGGGCCTAAAGGGATTTCAAGAATTATAATAAAGCAAATGTGAAAATCAAAAATTAAATGAAAACTCGACCTGACAGACGGCTGCGCATTCGTCCGACTTGTCGGCGCAGTCTGGTGTATTGTCGCACACAAAGGCAGGTGGGATGCATTCCTTGGAGGTGTGGCATAGCCAGTAGTCATTGGGACACTTCATCACTGGAACCTTGCAGGTTACGCCCGCCACTTCATCAACCCCGCAGTTGTGGATGCCCCAACCTTTAAAGGTGCACTCGCTAAGCTTGGTTTCATTGCCATGACATTCAACCTCATCCATCAGGTAGTTAAAATCCTGGTTGGGGGGTGGATAATAAGAGCTACCACGGACTTCCTGGGCTCCCATCTGAAAGCCAAGCTCTCGGCACACGACATCTGCATCTTTCAGACCGAACTTGTCATCACACACATAACCCCATTGGCCATTCGCTGGAGGATTAGAATCAATTACGTATTACCAAGTATCTAAAAATGTAAAACCCACTTACCCTTGACTTCGATACGACCCGTATTTGGGGTTTCGCCGCCTGTCAAACGCACCTCGTAGTCCAATGGCGGACAGTTAACCTCATCCTTGCCATTATCGCAATTCTTCTGCCCATTGCAGACCTCGTCCATCTTCAGACACTTCCCATTGCCGCAATCGAAATCGCATTCTCTGTTAAAACTCGATCGGGCAGCTAATTTGGGAGTAACTTCCTCAGCATTAGGATTGACCATTAGCTCCCAATCATCTTCGAGTTCCTCCTGCTGGCCAGTTTCATCCTTTTGTGGAAATGGATTGGGCAGTTCCGGATGACGACGATGGAAGTCGGCATTGTGCTGATGATGTTGATGGGGATGGTGTTGGTGGGAGGGGGGATTAGAATGGTGCTTGGAGAACGGATCGGGTAAATTTGGATGACGTCGATGGTAATCACGATTGTGACCAGACGCAAGCCAATTATTTTTCATTGTGGTTGTAGTTGGGGTATTTTGGTCAAACTCTGCCCTCCGGGTGCTCCTTTGAAAGTCGGTCGATGTGTACGTGGTACTGGGATCTAGGGTCTGCTCGGTACGGGACGTCTCCCTGGCATCTGGAAAAACATAGTCGTCGTCAACGGAATCCAGGCTCTCCTGTTCACCCGCCTTAATCAGTTCAGCGTCAGAGTCGAGGTCTGTTCTAGGTGTCGTGGAAGTTGTCGTAGTGGACTTCGGTGTGGTCGTAGTGATTGGAGGTCTACTAATCACGGACACTATTGCTGACTCAGTCTGCTTGGCTAATTTCTCTTGAGCATTACCACTATGATTGAAATATGGACGCAGCATGAGTTTGAGGGCCTCTTTCATAGCCGCTTGGGATTTAGGATCAGAGACTTGACTAGAACTGGGAATCTGAGAGTGAGGACTGTAAAACCTATGGTCAAAGGGAGGGGGAACCAATACCTGTCTCGTTGTCGTGGTTGAAAAATCATCTTCGTCATAAAAGGTTTCACCCAATTCAGGATTGAAAGGATCAGGAGTCGTACTAGTCACAGGGATTTTTGCCCAAGAAGCATTCCGAGAGTGGGATATTCCGGCATATGAGGGACTGTAGTGGGGGTGCCTGGGATCCTTATTAGGGGTTTCATTACCCACAGGTGGATAAATGGGAAAGGTGTGCAGTCGGTTGGCCAGTTGTGGTGTTGGAGTCTGAGTAGTTGAAGGATTGGGTGGAAGAGTTGGTTTGATGGGATCTGGTTTGGGAGGTAAGAGACCACCATACAGATTGGACTCATTACTCAAAGGGTTTGGGCTGTGTCTCGAAGGAATATTCGAACCCTGAAGACTATTGTAAGGATCCAAAGGCTTTTGTTGGTCTGGATGAAAGTCTACTGGTTGCTGTCTACCAATCGGTCTCGATCCACTGGGCAACTGATCTGGATAGAAGCGTGGTGGGGATCCCGGAGAGGGAAGAGGTCTATAAAAGGGATCTTCTGGTTTTTGTTGGTCGTCATAGTCCAGGTCAATGGTTTTCTGTCCAGGCAAAGGCTCTTGGGGTTGTTGTTCCCTGGCACCAGGGGAATGAGGTATGTAATCTAAGTTTAATGGTTTTTGTCCACCCATTGGAGCCAGCGGTGGCATGGGCTTCCATCCATTGTCGGGTGAGCCGTAATCAATTCTGCGACTATAGTTTTGACGCGATGGAACTGGACTTTTGTGCTCCGGTTCATCTTCCTCAACGGGTTGGGCGTAATAAACTTTTCCTGTATTGCTGGGTGCCATGGGCGCCAATGGAGTCTTATAGGTAGGATAATTACGGTTCGGCTGCAGGGATCCCTCCACATATAGGGTATTCTGGCCAGGCGCGTGCTGTACGTATGATATCTCCTGGGTAACCCAACCCGGACTGTATTCTGGTTGCTGCTGATGATGGGGATTTTGGTCCAGCCCAAAACCTGATGGTCGCTGCATGTTCATATTTGTCCAACGGTCTCCAATTACCCGGGTTGTGGTGGTAGTCCTCGTTGTATATTGGTTGCCGAATTGATTAAGACCAGAAGTCTCAAAGGATTTCGATTGGCGATTGTCTGGAATCAGAGAGAGAAAACTTAAAAAGTGCAAGGCATACACCAAAGGTTAGTAACCATTAGCGGGAGCTGTCCAGTAAACAGAGGCCCCCAGAACTATATAATCGGTTCGATCATCGCTGCGTAGCTTATCATCCATCAAGCACATCCTACGGGACACGCTAAAAACCTTAGGGCTTGGACAATCAAACATCTCGGCCTGGCCTGGACCACATCGAATGTATTTGGTGGCAAATCGCGGATGCGGCAGTGTTCCGGTAATTCCCTCTGGACATGTGGTAACTGCACCCGCAATCATCATTCGTTGCGTCCACTCGTAGATTATGTGCAGCTCACTGAGCGTGTACAAACGATCCTCGCGTTTAACCTGGTCAAGAGGCTGGCAAAAACCATGCGAGATACTGTAGTGCTGCTCGATCGGGCATCTCAGCAGTTCCATGCCGTTGGGACCACAACTTAAATACTTTGAACAGTCAAAAGGATACGCAAAAAAGCCCACCAAATCTTTAGGACATGCCAAGGCTGTAAAGAAAAGGTCTCAATAAAAGATCTAGTCCATCTAAGTTTTCCTAGTTTCCCACTCACGATCATTCTGGGGGAGTAGCTTGTTTTCAAACGGCACACGATCCGTTTTAGCGACATGCTGCTCCGGCAAGCAGTAGCCTTGAGAAATGCTGAAAATATCAAGGGGCTGACATTGCCTGGCTAGGGTGTGCCCTTCAATGCAGGTCAGGTAGCCAGTAGCATCGAAAGGATTCGGAAATAGGCCACTAACTTTTTCTGGGCACATCAGAGCAGTTGGTAAACTAGGATAAAGGTTTACTTGAGGAGGTGTCTGATATCCTCCATTCGATCGAGAAGCTGGCTGATAACCTTGATCGGTTTGGGAAGGATGCTGGAGAACTCCGTTCGTTTGAGAGCCCCAAGTAGTATGAGAAGATGATTGGATTCCTCCGTTTAAATGAGGAGGGGAGCTTCCATATGTTTGATTTTGTTGCTGATAAATCCAACCAATTTGAGAAGATGGTTGGTAGTCTCCATTAGCTGGATATGGGATCTGATAACCTCCACTTGTTTGGGAAGAAGGCTGGAAAATTCCACTTGCTTGAGAAGGTGGTCGGTAACCTCCAGTTGTTTGGGAAGATGTCTGATCTCCATATGTTCGATTCGGTTGCTGGTAGTCTCTTCCATTTTGAGGAGATTGTTGGTAACTTCCATTGGTATTGTAGCCTGGTTGGTAGCCACCATTAGGATAGGAAGTGGGCTGATAACCTTCATATATGTCATTATATTGCTGGTAATCCAAAGCAGTCTGAGACTGGACTCTTCCGCTTACATAAGAAGGCGATTGAGAGTCTCCATATATTATATTAGGTTTCTGGTATCCCCCGGTAGTTTGAGAAGATGGTTGGTAGTCTCCATTAGTTGGGTGTGGAATCTGGTAACCTCCATTTATTTGGGATGATGTCCGATCTCCATATGTTTCATTAGAAGATGGTTGGTGACCATTAGTGTTGTAGGGTGGAGAAGGGTAGGGTTGGGAAGGGGTTTGGTAAACTCCATGTGTTTGATTTGGCTGCTGGTAACCCCAATCATATGAAGAAGATGGTTGGGAGCCTCCATTAGTTGCATATTGCGGCTGGTAAACTCCACTTGGTTGAAAAGAAGGTTGTTGGTAACTTCCATTAGTGTTATAGGGCGGTTGATAACCTCCAATAGCTTGGGAAGGAAGCTGGTAACCTCCATGTGTTTGATTAGACTGCTGGTTACCCCAAGCAGTTGGAGAAGGTTGGTAGCCTCCAGTGGTCGCATATGGGGGCTGGAAAACTCCACTAGGCTGAGAGGTTGGTTGTTGGTGAGGTCTTCCATTCTGAGAAGTTGGTTGGTTACTTCCATTAGTGTTGTAAGGTGGTTGGTAACCTCCACTAGCTTGGGAAGGTGGCAGGTAAGCTCCATGTGTTTGATTAGGCTGCCAATTAGTTGAGAAAGATGGTTGGTAGCCTCCATTATTTATATGGGGTTGGTATTCTCCACCAGGTTGAGAAGATGGTTGTTGGTGAGGTCTTCCATTTGGAGAAGTTGGTCGGTTACTTCCATTAGGCTGGTAGGGTGGTTGATAACCTCCACTTGCTTGGGATGGTGACTGATAATCTCCATACCCTTGAGAAGGTTGCTGGTAACCACCATTAGGTTGATGGGGTGGGTTGCGACCTTCACTGCTTTGAGACGGTTGCTGATACTTTCCAGATGTTTGCTGAACTCCATCCGGTGCGTATCCTCTATCTTCTTCCGACTCTTCTTCCTCACTCTCCTCCTCAGAACACTCCACGTGATCATTGAGTAAGGTTATCTCATCTATAAGGACACAACTTCTCTGGGATATACTGAATGCTTCACCTTGCTTACAGCTTGCTACATGTGTTTGTTTATTCTTGCATATCAGATACTTAGTGCAATCAAAAGGATATAAGTGAAAACCCTCGGCTTCAGTAGGACAAACCAACGTTGAAAAATCCTCGGTTAGGGAATCTGCAAATGGGAATGATCACCTAGTATTCACTTAAAGGTTTCGTGACAAAGAGCTTACTCGAAAATAGTTTAAATATGTAGCCATGATCCAGATATTCGACGGTTACAAGAAGATCATCAGAAATACATTGGCGTCGAGGTAAACTGTAGACAGCCGTTTGAGGACACTTACGAATAGTCAAACGCCCATTCTGACAGTTAACAAATTTATTAGAATCAAATGGATAGGTGTAGTTTCCCTGCAAAGAAGCTGGGCACGAACTGAGTGGAATCGTATCATACTGATTATCCAAATTGGTATCAGTTGTTGTAGTCTGGATCACCAACTCCTCCCAGAACTTTACACGATCTTGCCTGTCTATCTGACTACTCGGGCCACAAGCTTGATTAACTACACTGAATGCAGCTTGCGGTCCACAGCTTAGAACAGACAGCTGGCCTTCAGAACAACGTACATATTTGCCAGCATCGTAGGGATAAGGATGAATACCATTGGTGCCGTCCGGGCAAGCAATGAGATTCAGAGCTGATTGATTTAAATTTTCAGAAATATGCAAAGAAAAATGTGCTTGTAGGAGTGAACTTACTCTGCTCAATGCTGATCTGAGAGACTATATATCTAACATAGTCGCTGTAGACCAACTGGGTCTTGGGCTGACAGCTACCCTTGGATATGCTAAAGACATAAAGGGGCTGACAGCTTTGAACCGTCAGTTTACCAGCCAGACAAAGGAAAAACTTTGTTTGATCAAAGGGGTGAACAAATTGACCGTTCACCCCGGATGGACACGAAATATCTGACAGGTGCCCGGCAGTTGGGGAAGAAGGGTCTAGAAAAGCATTTAAGCATTATTTTGTAATCTTAAAAGGCAAGCTCAAAATGATTAGCAAAATGAATAGCCAAAACCCAAAATGAAAAAGCTGGTGAGATAAGCTAAGCAAGCACAGGAGTCCTTTAAATCCAACTTACTAGGTGATTGTGATGGTCCTTGGTTATCATGGTTAACTTGATTTAGACCGGGAGAAAGGTGCCTTGCACTGCAATCAACGTTATTGATAAAGTCGCAATTTTTAATGGCTGTGCTGAAAGCAGTTCCAGGTCCACATTTCTGTATAAAAGTTTGTCCATTGGAACATTGTAAAAACTTTGTGCAATCGAAGGGATGAGGATAAGGTCCAGAGGATCCAGTTGGGCAAGTTAAATCCCCAATATTTTCGTGTTTAGGTCCATTCTCCTCATAGGTGGTGATAACCGTGGTCTCGATCAAGTATTCAACATGATCGGTGGAACCCTTGCATTCCTCTTTTGGAACGCATTTCTGATTGGAGAAACTGAAGATTTTTCCCGTCGGGCAGCTCTCGATGAAAGTTTGTTGATTGTAGCAACTAACGAACTTTGTGCAATCAAAGGGATGTAGATAGTATCCTTGGATATTGGGAGGACAAGTCAGAGTCGATCGATCCACCATGAATTCAGCTGTAAAGGAAAATAACCTTTCTAGTCCTAAAAATCCGGAATAAAACTCCTTACGAACTTACTCGAAAAATCATTACTGATATATTGGTAATCCAGGTAGTCATGAACTTGGAGATAATTTCGACTTAAACACCGTCTTTGGGACAAGCTATAAACCTGCCCAGTGGGACAACAGACAATCTCTAAGACTCCATTCTGGCACTTGATATAGTGTCCAGCATGGAATGGATATGCGTAGTTCTTCTCGACATTATGTGGACACGATATACTTGGAGACAGCCGCCCTTGTCTATTATTGTTTTGGGAAACAACCGTTGTCTGAACTTGGATTTCTTCCCAAAACTTGACACGATCAGTGATTTGCACTACCTGTCTTGAGAGACAAGATCTTTGCGAGACACTGAAGGCCTTGTGTGGACCACAGCTTATGATAGACATCCTTCCACCTGATGAGCACTGAACATACTTTTCAGCATCATAGGGATATAAGTGGATCCCATTGACGCCGAAAGGACAGGCATTTAAAATTAATGCTAATTAAATTTGTTGGTGAATTTCAATTATAAACAGAAAATCAATTAACTTACAGTACTCATAGTTGGTCTGGGATATGATTAAAGACACGTAGTCACTGTAGGCCAATAGTGTTTTGATCTGACAGTAGCCTCTCGATATACTAAACACATAATTATGCTGGCAGCTTTGCACAGCCACCTTACCATCCTTACAGTTAAGGAACTTTGTCTGATCGAAAGGATGGGCAAATAGGCCCACAGCTCCTATTGGACACATGAGATAATTGACCTCAGCAAAGGCGAGATCTATACAATTTCAAAATGATTAGGAATAGAGACGATTAAGAAATGCTAAAAAGCAAATAAAAGCATGAAACGCGTTGTATGAGAAAATAAACCCAAATGAGTAAGCAGATGAACCGAGGCAGGCCAAGCAGTAGGGATAAGGATAAGGAATAAAACTTACAAGAGGTCCGAGAGGGGTCAGAATTCACACATACCAAACTGGAGCTATCGAAGATCATTCCCTGAGGACACTGCTCAACCTGAGCCTTAACACCGATACCGCATTGAAGAAATTTATACACGTCGTGGGGATGGGGTCGACGGCCACGTGTGCCTGGGGGACAACCCAATCCATCCACTGGCACTTCAGGATAGTCTAACCCGGGTGTTAGTGTAAGATCTAAAAACATTTATCACTTATACGCACCATGATCCGAAGTTTCTGCTCCTCCTGTTCCACAATTTGCCACATCCTTGTGTACACAGACCAGAGATGCTCGACTAAAAGCAGTTCCCGGCGAGCAGTCCATTATAAATGCTTGGCCATTAGCGCAGTTTAGAAACTTCGTGCAATCAGTCGGATGCGGATGCAAGCCATTCACTCCCGGTGGGCATTTCGGTTTACCATCAAACTGACTTAGCCGTCCTAGTCGAGTAGGTTTCGTTTCCTCTGATGAGCAAACCACATTGCTGGAATGATCGCAGGCCAGGGTCCTGGTATTAAAAAGCGTTCCGGTTCCACATGTCTGAATGGTGGGACTGCCATTGTAGCAATTCACAAAACGATGACAGTCGTGGGGATATGCCACTCGGCCCGAAAAATACGGCGGGCATGCCGAATCCCGCTGGTAAATAGGCTGCTGCTGCTCGCTTCCGTAGTTTGATTGCCCCTGCCCTGCTGCTGATAACCCGACTTGCTCCGACTGGTAGCCATTTCGATAAGCTTTCGCGCCGGGTCTCTGTCAAAGCAGTAATTACGAAATCATTATTGAATATTGAACTATTACAAAACGATATTTATCAATTGCTTATAATCGATGCCAATTAGCAAGCAAATGCTTAATTTTTGGACAGTTTATAATTTAAGCATAAAAAAATATCCAATAAAACCGAAATTAGAATTCAACTATTTTGTAAAACACAATCACATTTTTTACTAACATCCACTAGCAGGATCGCCAGCCAAATGCCAAGCAGCCACTTGGCCATTTTCAGTTTATCGTTTTTTTTTTATAATCTCAAATAATAAAATTTTATTCCTTATATTTCAACGATACTGATAACAAGTCAATTATGTTTTTACGAAACGCGCTTAAATATTTCGTTGTGATCTCGTCCGAAATTCAGGCTCAACTGAGGCTCACGAACAGATCACGGAATCAATTGGACTCGGGATGAATCTCTATCTCAGCCGACGTTTATGTTCTCGTCTGACGCCGATCCAATTGAGTGGACCACTATCTGGGTTGTAATCTTACTGTCTTATCGCTTGTTGTTTTGTTTGCATGTCTTTTGGGGGTTTTCACTCGTTTATTTGCTTCAGAGAAATCGAGATGATGATCATTATGATGATGATGATTTACAGTGGCGCAGTTGCATTTAAGGGTTGTCTATATTTATATAAACCATAAAACAAACTCAACTTCTTACCTAAATAAAACTAAGCGATTATGTCTATGGGACTAGATCATTTGGCTGCTGGCTTATCAGCCGGTGGCCCCTCGACCAGTCGAAGTCTCTGCTGTATTTTTTGCCAGATCAAATCGTACGGCTGGCTTAGTTCTGTTTGCGTCTTGGGAATTCCCACAGATCGTCGCACATCCGGTGAGAGGATCAGAAGATTTTGCGCAAGGCCGAAACTACTTGATGCTACCCAGTAAACACACAAAGCTGAGGGCACAGTACAGGCGACTGGAACCATTACAACACTCAGACCGCGGAAAACATTGTTGGCTATGCTCTGAAAGCGGGTGGCAGGACGCGTTCTGGACATGGATTGCACTTCGATGATGGCCAAATTGATGAGACCTAAGGTTACGGGCAGGATATATGAATTGTCCACCACTGTCAGATTCGGTATCCAACCAAAACCACCAATCGTCATTTCGGTGGTTACAATTTGAGCTTGAATAGACATGGGATCTGGCAGCATGTAGACTAAATTTCGGAGCGCTACCGACTGAAAGATCCACAAGGGAATCTGGCCCCACAGCACAATCATGGTCTTCATGGGATGACAGTTATCCCGGACTATCAATTTCTGCCACTGCTTCTTGATCTAAAAGAAAGTGCATATTAGAAGTGCATCGAAAACGATTTAATTAATACAAACCGAACGTCGGTAAACGATCTGCGTCTGCTTTTCGCTCCACTTGAATTTTTGCTTAGCTATGGCCGCCTCTTTTTTTAGTTCCTCTACAATGGCGGGCATCTCTAATGCTATTTTCTCGATTCTGGCTGTGATCTTATGCTGGTAAATGGTCAGTGGCAGGGTAACAACACTTCGGAAGAGGAATGTCGACAGGACGATGGATGCCCACCAAGGCAAGCCACTGTAGTCATGTATTTTAATAAGCACATCTTGCATATAGGCCACTGGCGTGCTGTTGGACAAAGTCTGCCAGAATCCCACCAATCCACCGGCGTTTGCCAATTGAGCAGCAGCGCTTGCCGCTTCTGTTGACGCAAGGCGATGATTGTACGTGTTGTTTGCAGTTGCCGTAACTGGATAAATATAGTTATATGTCCCAGCTATTGTTGGCCTTCTGCAGGCACGCATGAGCAGCAAAGCTGCCATTTTAAATAAATAAATAAAAACCAATCGACGTAAACAACTAAAAAATATTACAGAAGCCTCTGTTAAACATAACAGAGAATAACAGCTGATTGTTAACATACCACTGCTAGTAACAGTTTGACCGAATATCACTAGCGCCAAATACACCATATTGGTAAACAGCTTTAACCCTTAATAGCCTTTGTAAATTGCACAAACCAAATAAAATCATTCTGAATTTAGGTCTATAATATAATAAGAAAACATTTAAAAGGATAATTTTATAACTGAAGGTTATTTGAGTAATATTAGAAGATAATAGGATTATGTTTTGTAGTAATGTAAGGGACGAAGAATATACAATTGCTTTGCTCTATTAATCATATTTAAATGTCGAAATTGCCAATTAACTTAGCCGGCTTAAAATGCCTGGACTTAATACAAATACATGCAATGTTTATTAACAAATGTATTTTTCAAAATTTATGTGGTGGAACTAAAATTTTGTTTTATTTATTTATTATTTAGTTTCTAAATTTTGTTATTTTGGTAACATTGTGCGACAGTCACTCTAATTTGGCATTTTAAATCGTGCAGCACACTCGGCTGCACTTGCAACTTTTCATTGTTTGAAGCGCAATTAATATTTAATTCGAGTAATGAGTTTTAGCCAACGCCAACCAGAATGGCACAATTTACCAGCGGTGGCACTAAATCGGATATTCGACCATTTGGATCCCGAGGATCGTCGGTCGGCAGCGAGTGTTTGTTGTTCCTGGAGACTTTCCTTCTTTCGAAAACGGTAAGTTGGTGGGAGTATGGGTGCGTCTGTGTGTGTATGCGTGTTTTTGTATATGTGGCTAAAATGATAAATTTCGGTTCTTATTGGGTATATTTCCTTTGTTTTTACCCCTTATATTATAGTCATGGTTTAATGAAGCACAGAAAAAACATCTGTGCTACCATGAACAAATTGTAGACCTCACAATTATTGGATGTTTTCATTCGACGCATTTGGCAATGTTTCAATGTATGGGGCAAGCACCTCAAAACCATTTGTTTACGTTAGTGTTGAAAAAAGGGGAAAGTCCACGATAAGAGGAAATCCCCCTGCCAATAACAGCAATTAATTAAACTAATTGAACCGATCAAAACAAGCTGTTTATTGCGATCGTTGTGATTGCGAAAAAGACATTTATTTTTATTACCTTTGTGTAATTTCCTCTTCTGCTTAATTTCATTTAGTTATACGAATTTTTAGTTTTATTTTTAGAACTTTCTTTTTAACTTAATTTCTATAAATGTATAGTTCAAATAAAAAATATTTAAAATTAACTTTAACTAAGTTTACTATATAGTAAAATATAAATTAAATTTAATAAATGTCTTTCTATTTAACCACTCCAGCTACTTTAGAACCTTCCGCTTTCAATTGGATTTGGCACGCGATGATCAGTTGGCTTTCTTCCATCGTTCCATGGCCAATTTGACCCGGGAACTGATTGTAGTCTTCGATTTTCAAAATGCATTTCACATTCAGAAGATGCGACGACTTCTATACAAGTAAGTATACTTGAAAATGACAAGAAATATGTAGCCTAATCTTTCTTTGTATCTCCACAGAGTGGCACGCTGTGATAACATCCAGAGATTGCGTTTTCAAACCCACAACGCGGGTCTTGTTGCCATCGGCAGTATGCACAGTGATCAGTTGTTGGCCATCGAACAGTATGTTTCAGTTGAAATAAATTACTTTGAAATTTTAATTATAAAGAAACATTTACAGATGCTTTGTAGAGCCCCTGAAGCTTTTTCTGAGTCGCACGCGCCAGCCCTGCCAGCTTCTAGATCTTGGGGCCATCGAAGCCCTCACATACTACGGCCATGACTTCCTTAAGTCCATGGGCAAGCCCCAGGAACTGATGCAATTAACGCTGGCCAGCATTAAATACGATCCTAGTCATTATCCCATTCTCTCACTCGACACGACACTGCTGCAGAAGTGCGCATCCCTACAGGTGCTCTCCCTGGACTACGACACACTATCAGACGAACTGCTTCACACTATCCAGGTGCTACCACTGCGGAAACTGCTCATCGTGGTGCACGGTCTGGATAGCGAGGAACATCCCGAAGTGTCGGAGACGGCCTGGTCCCATTTTTCGGACCATTTTTCAAGCATTGAGTTGGTGCTGACTCTTGTGTACGCCTATGAGGCCATCGAATTACTGCAGCATCGCGTCCTTCGTAGAAACATGCCTGTTACCCATGTCCGACTGCTCTTCTGCGAACAAATGAACGAAGAAGCCCTGGAGTGGATGTCAGTGCATCATAGCGAAACGCTGCGCAGTATTCATTATGTGGACTCAATGTACAAACATTTCAACCACATGGACTACGCTCGCCACCGCTTCCAGCGCCAGGATCCCTTTATAATGATGGCATGGCGCTGCAAGCAGCTGGAGGAGATCGTGGTGCATGGCTACTCAATGGAACCGCACAACATCGTTGGCATCGCCAGGCTTCGGGGTCGGCAGCTTAAGCGTCTGGAGGTCTCCATGATTGATTGGTCCGGAGCTGCATCTATGAATGCCTACAATGAGGTCAGTGTTTTTATGGCTTTAAATATCCATGTAAATAAACGTGTCTTTGATTATGTCACAGGAAATAAGCACCTTGCTGGGACAACAGTGGTCACCCATCGACCCTAACAACATACCGTCATCGCTACGCGATCAATTCGTGTACGAAATGCTGCGCCAGGATCTCAGTCAGTAAGTGGTCAAGTTAGGAACTCACTCAAAAATAACCAAAAATTCAAGCAAAGTTACCAAGTGAACTAAAGAAAGGCAAACATGACACGTGATCAACTCGAGCGCATAGAAATTAATTGAAAAATTGCAAAACCTAATTACGTAGCTAAAAGAAAACCCAAAAGAGATATGTAAGCAAAAAAGAAAATTCAATCGTTATACTAAGTTGTCAAAATTTGTATATGTAAACCAAACCTTTTGATTGGCAAGCATTTTATAGAAGTTAAATTTCCTAAGTTGTTAATCTATGTAATCAAAAGCGCTATTAGCCCTAGTTTGTTAGTCAAATAGCGACAGATCAAGAGGAAGATGCATGTTAGGAGCAAAGCAAAAGACTTCAGCACTTCACAAATTTATGTAATTATGTAAAGGGGCGAGACGAGTTTGTTGAAACCTGCTAGAGAAACATCATTTTATAAGCAACAACAACTGTGATTCAAACGAAATGCAAAACCGAATGCAGACGAAAGTGCAAGTGCAAGCCAGTGTAAGCAATTACGACACCAACTCTCATACAAAACAAAACAAAACAAAAACGACAACAACAAATTGTTATGCGAATTGTCTAGTTAGCTAAGTTTAAAAGTAACAAAACAAAAGTGTTGAAAAATGTTTGTAAAACCAAAACTACGACCAATGTCAAATTGTTCGCTCAAAACTCAATTGGCACAAATTGTTAACCTTTGTAGTAGTGTGATTAAGTACGGAGTCCGGCGCTCTATTGTGATAAACCAACAAACAACAAAATAAGCAAATGTAACAACAACGAGATTTCGATCCTCGTTAGCTAAGCGCCGCCATTTGTGTAGTTTAAAGTGATATTACCAGCAACAGCAAAGCAAAATTGTAAGCAAAATACAAAACACCACACAGATATATATGTATTGTAATAGCCAAAAAGAGCTAAATTAGCTGTCGTGTGTGGTAAATGCGTTGTGGCCAGAGTAACGGGCCAGAAAGCCAGGCAATTGTAAGACCCTAAAAAAAACCCAACTTTTAAGTATTTCATAGCACAGGCATTAATTTATACAACTATGTACTATATAATTAACCTATGTTTGCACAAAACAGCAGCGTGTTGTCACGAGCCACGGCTCATCCTCCCCGGAGTTGCTTGCCGACCAACAAAGTACAACAGCAACAATGACAACATCAACAACAACAACAACAATGGTACCTGAAGATCATGCTGAGCATTTAATGAACAACAGAACAACAACAACAACACAAAGTACTTGCTCAAATCTAACAATCTAAACAAACACAAAATCTATTGAAACAGAAGACTGAACGATTAAGAAAATCGCGACGAGGGTGTTGGCTTCGTTGTCAGAGCAACGCGGAGGATGGCACTGGGTCTCTGGGACAAGCAGGCGCAAACAAAATGCGATCTCAAAGACAACTCTTACAACTAATATCCAATCGACCATCTATATTTGTATGTATCTAAATGTAACCAATGCGTGTAATAATTTTTGTTATCAACTGCAATAGCGAATATTAATTTGTAAAAAAAAGAAACAAGTGCAAAAATGTGTGTAAAACGATGCAATGTAAGAATGTATGTCAAAACAGCTAAAGAGCAACTGTAACACGGCCACAGAAAGTTAATCAAAAAACAGTGTTAAGGGTTAGCAAGGGATTTGAAATCCGCGCCCCAAAATTATGTTAGCAGACCTGTTTTTTTGTGTGGCTGTGCATTTAATTTAAGTCTAGTACGTACCAACACAACAACCAACAACAAATGTGATAAAAGTGTCATGCTGCTTCCAAGAACAACATACCGTGCAAAATGCGACCAAAGATACTGCACGATCGAAGCAATGAGAACGGTAGTCAGCATTGGAAAGCCAGGGCCCGATTAATGGGGGATATAGGGCATATAAAGGCTCTATTTCATGGCAATTCGACACCCGAGTTTCCTTAACATAATCAAAACCTATCAATTCGGAAGCACATTTAAGAAACAGCAACCTTTATTATTTAAGAAAAGAAAAAATTCATCTATATCGCAAAAAAGACCGAATTAAAGTATCGTTTTGCTATGGAATAGAGCTTGGTTAGATCGTTAGCTTAATATCCAGCCTTTATAAATTGTTAGGAGGCCGTCAATCAATGGATTCATTCAATTACAATCAACGTAAATGAAATCAAGTATTAAGTTTTTCTGTTATACTAGAGTCACTTCCAACGCTGCTGTATATGAGTAACGTTCTTTTTGTATACTTACTACAAAAACAAATATATATTTTATATGCCATTTATTGTATTTAAATTCGAAGAGACCGAAAAACAATTTTGTAAACCATTCCACAAACACAAGAAACCAATGCGATTTATGCTCACGTATGTACTGATCCAGTAGCAACACTACGGAACATGAGGCAAACAACCAAGTTTAAGATAAGTGTTGATCGAGAACAACAACAAGAGGCCAGGGTGTTAATATATGTATGTAGATTATTGCCCGATGTCTTTAAATTCAGGGGAACAACAATTATGACATCGGCTGATGATGATGAGGGTTAGAAATGAAAAGACGATAAGATACAGCCGTGCATTAACAACAATGTTTATATATGTATATGCAAGTTATGCTTAAAAGTTAAAAGAGCAAAAGTGAAGAGAGCTGTGATATAACAAAATCCAACAAAAAGGCAAACAACAACCGACAACACACAAAGATAACACCGACACATTAAACTACAAAAACTACAGACAAGCCAATTCGAAACGTGTGCGACCAACAAAAAAGAATGTTAACAACCTATCGAAAATCGAGAAAACCAGGAGAAGGACCATCGGATATGGCCCAAGATAAGATCGAATCAGATCCAGTAGTAGTTAGCTTAGCGGAGTTGAAGGATGTTAAAGGAAGAGGGGAACCAAAGTTTTGAACCGAAGTGTTTAAGAGAAACAACAGCATGCGGGATATCATTGATTGATATCGAATCAGGAAGATTTAAAATTCAATAGAGAAGAAATCAAATGTTAAAATATATATCTAAAATGTAGTAGAACCACACACATAAAAAAGTGCACATAGCTTTAAATATAAAGCAAACCTTTTATTTAATGTCAATTTCCATTTGATTTGCCATGTTTATGATTTCTGCAAGATTTTAAAGCTTAAATATATTTAAAAAAATAAAAGCAAAAAGAAAACAGGCCAACAACAGTTTGTGTGGCATATGCAATATCATTACGATTTAAGGCAAACAATAAATATAAACCAATTAAAGCGTAGAAAACAAAATGCATTCAATTGAAAAACCAATAAAAACGTTTGAAATTTGAAGGGAAAATGAGTTTTATGGCAGGGAAGGAAAATATTTTGAATATAATCCTCAAAGCTTTATTATATGCGTTGCATACTTCGTGGGTGGCGTTATACAATATGCCAATGGAACCCGAAGGCATCTGATTAAAAGTACATAATTTAAAAAAATATAAACGAAATGTCAACAAAAACAAAACACCAACACTCGCGACAACTTCCGTTGAGCAACGCAAGCGCTCAGGATGTTGGGAGCTTTTTCTCAGTCCTTGAACTTTTGACCTTGTTTTTCGCTGGCTGGCTGGATAACTTGCTGCCGCTGCGGTTATGTAAGCGGCTGCACGTATCGTTATGCAACCTGTCCACGGATTCTGGGCGCGTGCCATTGCATTTCATCCGTCGCCAGTGGCTCTCAAACTGCAGCGGCTCCGGCAAGCGATAAGAGCAATCAAGCGAACCAATTAAGTGGGCTTTGCAGAAAAGATAGCGCTGTTGAATGAATGACTGGACGGTATGGTCGTGTTTATTATCAAGTCTTGTTTGCCTACGACAGACAACCGGCGAAAGGCGTCAGCAGCCCTTGTTCCATGAAATGTGATAGTTTTGGCCAAGGCCAACCGATGCAGTTAGCCATAAAGACAGTAAACACCGAACTGATTGCGCCCGATTCAGGTGTGACTCGTCCAATGCCCCCAAAACTGTTACCAAAGAACAAATTCTATTTTAAATGTTTCGTTTATTGATTAGGCAGCCTTTTGGTCAGGTTCAGCTCGATTATTGACACATTGCGTTCGCATAGCGTAAGCGTATGAGTAACAACACGAATCGAAGAGTACACGCAAATAAATATCCAAAGGATACACTGGAAATAAAGTACTTACATTTGGTTTATTATTATCCGGCAAAATTTAAAAATAAAATTGAAATTTTAATCGGATTTTATATTAATAAAAACTGACAGAAATTTAGAAAGTAATTATTAAAAAAGAATAAATTCCTTAAGATGTTAAAGGAAACATAAAATATTACAATTCTGATTCCAACTCGATTTCATCTTTAAATTTTTGGATATTGATATTTTGGATATATAATCTTTAAGTTTTTTCTGGTGTATCTGGCACAGAACCCGCGGGTTTCGTTGGGGGACGAATCTCGTGAGAAAAGCTTCGCAAGTGCAGCTAGGAAACATTGGCGTCGGCGCTCTCCGTGCTCCCCTTCGTTCTCATCGTTGGCTCTCTCATTCGAACGCCGTCGTTGTCCGTAGTCTCGTCGCTTTTGCCGCCAGTTGAGCAGTCGATTTTCGCACGGAGCACGACAGTCTAAAAAATTTGAAAGAAGCATTCAACAGCCAGAGGGCCAGTCGAGAGAAAATTAATTTTATACTTTTACTCAAAATCAAACAGCACCACAGAATCGAACACAAAGTCTTCGATATTTGACCAGCTGTGAAGCATTTAAACGAAACGAACCTTTTGATACACGAAAAGAACGAAGGGGAACCCTCCGGACAACCACTTGCAACTTTTTCTAGTCGTTTTTATTACCCAACAGAGGCACACAAAAAGGTGAGTGCACGCAGAAGGGGTCACGCTGCAAGCCCCAAGTTGTTTATTATGTGTGGCATGCTGCAACTGTGCTGTGTGAATGACTCTTCTTACTCACCCACCCATCATTATTCACATCCACCCACTCATTCGCCTAGTGTGACGTAACTATCACTGTGTATGTGTGTCTGCCAACGGAGATTGCTCATACGCCGCGTGTGCTAAAGAAAACAAACGCAGACGGAGGTGTTTGGCGAATTTTGCTAGCTTTTGCACAAATCCGTGGAATAAACAAAGCTCAGGGGCTAGCAAACAGTGCGGAAAACAGTCATAATTGATCGATGTCGGAATGGTCTAAATTTAGAACCCTTTCGACCGATGGGCGCCATCCGGTGCACAAAAAATACCCCTTTGCCCAAATTGATCTGCAGTGCACGGAAAACAATTTCGTATTAATTTAAAATACAAACATCTTAGCAAATGCCATAACCAATTAGATATAAAAAAAACTAAACTTAAGGCACGCCAATATTAAATTTAAAAATTCAACCAAACTTAAGATCCAGTTTTTGCAGTGTGCCATGTCCCATCTCTGGCCGAATGCCCAAAAGTCGCGACTTCACGTGCCTCGCGGCGCTCAACGTTCTGCGAATTTGGCATTCTGCATTTTGCATTCGCACATCCATGCGCGCTTTGTTTATAAATAAACCTTGAATAATGCCGGCATGTTTTCCCAGCTGTCTTTTTGCTGGTGGTTCGCCGACGGTTTGACTGTTTTTTATCTCTGTGTCTCGGTTCTTAATTGAGCTCTAGCTCAGACTCTCTGGAACTTAATGTATGTACTTTTCTGATGAGCGAGGCGCTCGATTTTCACATTGCCTTACGGCGACGTCATTTGTTGCACTTTTCGAGGTCGGTGGGTGATTCAGTTTTGGTGTCAGTCCAACAAGTGCATGTGGTGTGGAAATTGCCATTTATAGTGCAATCAATCTGTATAAATTAGCGGCCAAATTGCTTTGAAAATCACTTAACTATTTACTCATTCGATTTTGTCTCTTTTTTCAGCTAAAACAAAATGTTCGCTTTGTGGTATCTAACATTTGCTGTCGATGAAATACGGTAAGTGAAAGGGGATTTTTCGTACAGTTTTAGAGGAATTGACAAGCAGCACGGCGGATAAATATTTTGTGGTGCCTACTTTCGGGCGGGATAGTGACTGGTCATGTAGAACTTGTGTAAAATTATATTTAGGGGAGGGATCAGGTCTTCCACAGATGAATAATGAAGTCCAATAATTTTCTAGTAATTAAAGAATTTGTGGTTTTTTATTATATTAAATAATTTCTACAAATGTGTTCAGTAATCTATAATAATAATAATAATAACCATTTATAAAAAACCATATAACCTGCTTTCACCCGGAAAGCCACTTTTCCTGAATTTCATAAATCTTAGCGATAACTCTTGTCACAAATTTCCACTGCAATCATTGCAAAAGCGATAATCTAATCGGTATCAGTTGATGAATTAGCCCAATCTAGTTCTCTGCCGCGACGATCGTTACGGTTGGAAGGTGCTAAATGCCACTAAGCAATCTCCCTGCATTTGGCAACAAAGTTAGTCACTTTAGCAGTGTCACATGATGAACTATCTGCCCGTTTTCCACTCCTTCTACTCCCCCGATCTTGCCGAGCTTCACCAAACAACTGGCTTTTGTGGCTCTAACTCTCATTCGTGATAAGTGCAATCGGCCCAATACATACATAGAAACACTCTCCCGCTGGCACATTTGCGAAATCAAATTGGCAATTTTTTGGCAACAGAAAATACAAATAAATAAATGCTAAGCGTCCAGTTGTTATCTGCCGGCAATTAGCGTAATAATGAAAGTGATAATTGAAGTTTGGAGCGGTATAAGTTTTTTCCGTTCTCATCCACACACCCGGCGATTTGGGCCGGCTTTTTTGCTTGTAGTATTTGTGCTCGTTTATTTGCTTATCTATTTGCCGCACGAGTTTTTCGCCAGCTATTGCCGATTTGGCCTACGTGACAAGAGAAATGACGACGCCTTCCTTACGGAAATGGGGGAGTGGAGAAAGTAATTTCGTAACTCAACTAAAGAAACGGGCAAATTGTGGTTACAGTTCTAAGTAACGATACTTCGGGGGCATAATGGTACTACTACATTTAGGTATGAGTGCCACGCCCTCGAATGGGGTAACGCCTTTTGGTAAAATACAAAGAATAATTGAGTCTATTACGTTGGACTTTATGGGAAATGGATTTTATTTTGCTTTGCTTTTTACGTAATGGGCTGTAAAGAACTGGGTGCTTTGCATATCTGAAATCAAGCAAGATTTACCCGCAAGGTTAGCACAGCTAATTGTTTTATATTTGAATATTGAAATTTAAAAATCAGGGTTGTATTGAATACCTTAT